CTAAAACATATGTGCCTAATATTAGCGTAAGAATATTTATCTAAGATAACGTTAACATTAGAGCCAGCAGCCAAATAAAGTGGCTAATGTTAGGCTACTACTTGCGTTTGAAATGAAAAGCCATGTCTTCCTGCCCGACAGAATTACCACATGGACCAGGTGTTGACGATCTGTTCGTCATGGACTGTGTGACTATTAAAATTCAGTCGACAAAAGCTTTGTTTAGTCCAAAATAATTTTTTTGTGCATATCCAATTGGAACCCGATCATATTTAGCAATTGTTAACGTCAAAAAAACAAACAAAAAAAACACACGAGTTTCCTAAAAGTTACTGAAATCTGTACAAAGATTCATGCCATGTGCAACAAACCCATGAACCCGAGCATTTCAAAAGACAAGGTCACTTATGTTGAAATACCACATTACGCAGTGTTTGAGGAAAGGGTCCAGTATTGTTGGTTTTCTTACCACATGGTGGCTTGCCAAGTGTTGCTAATACATGAATGTTCTTTCCCTCGATTTTGACTATCTTTCCATCAGCCGTCCCAGTGTACAAAACATCTACAAAACAAGAATGATTTAGAGGCATTACATACTGCCATTAAAGCAAATTTTTTATTTTTTTTATATTTAATGACTTAAGATCAATATTAAGATCTACATATAATCATTTAAATCTTAAGATCTTCATACTTCCTTATATATTGTCAGAGTGTGCAACCATGCAAAAATACAATAACACACTCCAAGTCAACTCAACTTTTACCTATTTTGGCAAGTACAACCACAGTTTATCTCTCAGTGCACACACTGCCAAACAGCTGCGGCAGACTGGGTGAAAGGTCAAGTTTTGACTGCATTGCTTTGCAAATACTGACCTCCAATATTGGCAAGGGATTCTGGGCCGATGAGCCGCTCCTCGAACAGTCGCTCTGCCTGTCTGAGTATCAGGTTGGGCTCGTAACAGCCAGTCATAAGAGGCGGTTCATTGAGACTAATTATCAAACACAAGAGGGGAAAAAAACAAAGAAGAACTTTAGTTAAGCTTCATGTTCAGAAATGTTGAGAAGAACTGAACTGAAAGTCGTTCTTTCAGCAGAAAGCTGGAGGAGATGAAATGCCCTACATATCAACTGCAGAGGCATCAATTATTAACCATTGTCAGAACTAAAAAAGAAATGAGAACGCACTGTGGGGCTTGACTTAAGATGAATATTTATATTGGATTTTGTCAAGAACATTGAGGCAGCACCACAGCTCACAAATGTTGGTCTATTTTTTATTAAAAATAAATAAAACACCTTTCATGCCACATGTGACTTCATTTACATCAACTCCCTGTAGCAATATTGTTTTAGTAATCGAAATAAAGCTGAAATAAATTACCCCAAAAGTTAAATTAAAGGAAAAAATAAATCTAATTCAAAACATTAATAAATACTGTGGGCTTCACAAGTATTGGCACCCTTGGTAAATATGAGCAAAACTGACTGTGAAAATTGGTTATGCAATTTCTCCTCTTAGTCTTTCATTCAAAATATTCACAAAAATCGAACCTTTAATTAAAGTCAAATAGTTGAAAGAAACAAAATCGTATCATAAAACAATTTTGCTGAAATATATGTATTGCACAATTATTGGCACCCCTTAATTTAATACTTTGTGCAACGTTCCTTTGCCAAGATAGATAACCGCTATGAAACTTCTCCTATAATGCGTAACAAATGAATGTGGTTGATGAACATATGGCAAGAGATCAGAGACCATTCCTCCATTCAGAATCTCTCCAGATTGGGAGATCCATGCTTGTGGACTCTTCTCTTCAGCTCATCCCACAGGTTTGTATGGGGTTTGGGTCAGGGGACTGCTATGTCCATGGCAAAACCTTCATCCTGTGATCGGTGAACTATTCTGTGGTTTATTTTGAGACGTGCTTTGGATCATTGACATGCTGGAAGATCCAACCAAGCTTCCTGACAGGGTCAGTCAGGTGTTGATTTTATATCTGCTGGCCCTTGATGTTTATTTTATTTTACCGTGTATCCTAAGTTGCCCAGGGTCTTTTGGAAGATATGTAGCCCCACAGCATTAAAGATCCACCAGCATTATTCACAGTGGGGATGAGGTACTTTTCTACATTGCTATGGTTCAGTCTATCCAAACCCACATCTGGTGTTTTTTCCAAAAAAGCTTTATTTTGGTCTCATCTGACCATTAAACTCAGTGTTAAAACTCCCACTGAAAGTTCCAGTAACGCCTAGCAAACTGTAGGTGCACGATATTACGGTTTAATGTCACCAAAGGCTTTTCCCATTGCATTCTTCCCAAATAGGTTGTAATTATATAGATGAGGTGTGATCATAGTTTTGGAGACTTTCTGAACCCAAGACCCAACTAGCATCTGCAATTCTCCAACTTTCAAACCAAACCATCCTCTTCAGTGCGTGTGGGGCCAATATAGACACTCGTCCTCTTCCATGAAGATTGTTACCATCTCCAGTTGATTTAAACATCTTAATTATTGCCCAGATGGAGAAAATTAGTATTCCAACAATTAACCGCTTAATTTTCAGCAATATTTTTTTCAAAAGCTTAAAAAACCCTCAAAATTCATCCTCTGAAAACCGTTTTGAAATCGGACATTGCGTTACCATGGAAAGGGTACTTTACAACCTTTTAGCCGGCTCCTCCTCCTAGTGTTTCATTTTACAACATTTAATTTAACTTTTATAATCAAAAATTTTCTATTCTTGACTAAATACATATCATCCAAAAGGTCTGAGACTCAAGGTTGCATATATGGAGATTGTTTTGTGATAGAAGAGACATTGTGGCAAATTGATTAATTTGTTACAGGAGAACGAATAGAAAAAAGTCAATTGAGTGTGGTTGTCATCTGGTGGCTATTGTTGGGATAACGCCTAAACAAAATCTCATAGAAACTTTAATTTTTGCGATATCAACTTCAAATTTGGAATACAACTTGGTTAGATGTATGGCTTTGGTTTTATAGCAATTTTAGAGTAAAAATTATTGGTAACACTTTATTTTACAGTGTCCTTGTTACATATGTTATGTACATACAGTCAATTATGGATAATTAATTACATGCAACTAACCCTCAACCAAATCCTAATCCTACCCTAACCCTATAGTGAGTACACGTAGTTGCTTAATATTACTCAGAACTTAAATATATAATTACACTGTAACAATGACACCTTAAAATAAAGTGTAACTAAATTATTGTATAACATTTTTTTTAGTACAGTACAATTGTTTTACAGTAAGCCTAAACTTATACAAAATTTTCACACTTTAATTTTTTTAAGTGCTTTTACTTCAGCAATAATCTGAAGCGTCTTCTTTACAAAGAGACCAAGGTCTGTATTCCTGACAGAGCATTCATGAATTACAACCATTTAAGTTTGCAGGGCTCCAGAATAACGTTTGGGAACAGTTTTTACAATTAAAGCAATTCACTTTTTGAATAGGGCTTCTTTTAAATTGCAACATTTCCAGCTTGGCAACAGAATGTTACAGGAAGTTATTTTTTGCCATTTTGTAATAAACTTTACAACTGACATTTAGCAATAAACATTGAGTAGGACCAATGGCAATAACTCATGGTTTCTGAGCAATGCGGTATGACACAACGTCCCACCTTTACTCCTCTCTGCAACCACCTACATCATTACACACCCTTGCATGAGTAATATCCTATTTTACATGCATTAATTTAGTCATTTACTGATTTTTATCCAATTCAATATTCAAGAGTGAGGTGTAACTAGAAAATGTATCTTTCCATGAGTTTTTATCTAAACTTGTATTCCCGAGGAGACCTTGAATGTCTGAAATACTGTGAGTTGTGACATGTGTTTCCCATGCTAAAGGTGTAGATCTCTGTGAGAGGACGAAGCTCACCTGAAGGCCTCTGGTTGAATGGGAGAATCAATCAGGAAAATGAGGACCAGCAGTGGGAAAAGCAGGAAAGCCACCAGTGAGAGTAACGTCACACGAAACACCTTCCCACTGTAAGTGCTGCAACGCACAACAGAACAACATGGTATACATTTATCAGACGAGGACAAATTTCACATCAATTAAATTGAATTCAAATTAATCAAGTGCTACAAATGTTTCCAAGTAAGCAATGAAGGCAGGTAGGTATGGCTTACCTTGTGTTTTTGTACTGGGGTTCATGGGTTTCGTCAGTAATTATTTGAGGTCTGTTTAACCTCCTGAACCGCAGTCCCTCGGGCTCATTCATTTTTGTTGTTGTGTCGACTCTCTCTTTCTCTGTTTCACAGCTACGCTCACTAAAACATAAGGCTAAATAAACGCTGGTCCAACAAACGAAGAATTTATTCACAACATCCCAAAGCCAGAGCGCAATTCATAATGACGTGCACGCGACCCACGCGCGTTCTCGACACCAGTCAGTGACGTGTGAGCGGAGAAACGATGAAACACTTTCAGTGACACAAGGGACATTTTTCAAATTAAAAGTTTTTTGTGGCTTTTTTTTTTTTTTTTGAAAGGCAGCAAACCGACTGAAATAGCTTACGGTAAATAAAATGTTGCCATTAATAAACAAGCAAATAAATAAAGTATTTAAAGAATAAATACACGAAACGTTTCATTTATGACATTATATGCAAAGATAAAACCACTGAATCAAGAAATTATGATTAATATGCTGAGCTTGTAGACGTCAAAGTCTTTAAATATCATTGGAACACAACTCATAATAATCTTGTAACAACATAACACATTAATACATAAATAATATATAAATATATATATACACACACACACACAACATTATTTATAATAAGTAAATTATTATGTATAATTAAAGTATAATGGGTAAATCATTATTTAAAAATGAATACTTTTTTGCTAGAATTTTGACTTTAATTATGAAAATATTGTACTTTTTATATTTGCCTTCACACTGCTGGTTAACGCTGGCACAAGAGGTGTATGTTGTTTATGCTGCAATGGCTATTATTAACACTGAAAACATTCGTAGTACAATTTGGATTGCCCTCAAGAGGCTTGATCTCAACGGTTGGTGTAATTTAATAATAATCTGTCCAAATTGCATGTAGTTAAACAGTGGACAGCTGCGTAGCATCCTGGTTGCCATGGCAACATGAAAAGATTTGCTGTAGTAGATCCTCGTTTGTCTGCCTTTTTGCCACCTTCATTATTTTTACAATAAGAGTACAACATTTCTTATAAAATATCCTGAATTACTCTGAAATAGGCTAATTAACTTTGCCTTTCGGCCACTGTTGTCAAATGTATTGCGATGGATAGACAGCAACAGGTGCATCTGACAGCACAAGACTTATACTGGTTAAACAAGAACAAGAGTTACTGGTTACGCCAAAAGAAAGAAAAAAATGATATTATTTTGACTATGGCTTTGAATAATTGTTGCACAATTTTGTGCTGACATGCTAATCACATGCAAATGTAAAAGATATAGCACAGGTATGTCTCTAAGATGTCTGCTAAAAGTGCTTAATCTGGAAACATCTGATAAAGTCTTAGAAAAAGGCAGTTTATATATATATATATATATATATATACACTCACCTAAAGGATTATTAGGAACACCATACTAATACTGTGTTTGACCCCCTTTCGCCTTCAGAACTCCCTTAATTCTACGTGGCATTGATTCAACAAGGTGATGAAAGCATTCTTTAGAAATGTTGGCCCATATTGATAGGATCGCATCTTGGAGTTAATGGAGATTTGTGGGATGCACATCCAGGGCATGAATCTCCCGTTCCACCACATCCCAAAGATGCTCTATTGCAGGGGTCTCCAACCTTTTTTCATTTGAGAGCTACTTTTTAAAAATGAAAGTGGCCGAGAGCTACTCATGTAATACAATACTTAAATCTAATTACCCATATTAACAGCTATCCAAACTGTTTTAGACCTAAAAGAGTTTGTGTAGGCCTAAATATGTCACCCTTAAATGTCAGAGAAAAGAACAGAATCAGAGATTATTTTTTTATAGAAAATTGTACTTTGCATATTATTATATTATATTATTATACTGTAATAGTTGATTTTATAGTGCATCATAACTAGAGATGAAATGGCATGAAAATGTTATTTCATACGACTAAATAAAATCAATTCACCAAGTTATATGTCGAAAACCAGCAAATAACAAAAAATAGCATCAATATGCACTTTTTGTTTAAATAAACATTAAAATAATAACATTAAAAATGATGGCCAGATTTTAAAGGAGTGTCTTGCAACATGTTATCTACTAACATGTACAAGTTCAAATAAAGTTTTGACAAATAAGGTTTTATAAAAAGATAAACCTCACGTATTTCAGCCTTTAAATCATTTTAATAAAAAGAATGAGTCAAAAAAGATAAATTACGGACACTTACAATACACATTGGCTTATCTTTTATTATTAATAGTAAAATTCGGTCCGATTTTCCCGTGCCGTCTGTCGTTGCTATGCAACCATATGCTCTCCACAACAACAAAGAAGTTTTAGTAGCTAATGGATTTCCTCTACCGAAAACGCTTGCTGTAGCTCTGCTACAAGATTTATTTACGGAGAAGAGAAAAACACCCGTAGTGTTTGGGTGCACCCCCATCCTTCATGTTGACTGAGCTTTCAATGTTGTTACGGAAAGGGTGAAGCTGATGGTTGGTTCTTGTCACATGACCTGCGGTGCGCTCGCTGCATTCTGAAAAGTTGAGGCGTTTTCATCTCGCTGCGCCTGGGAAAAATGAGCACATTGCTTCAATTATGAGCGCGCTTGCCCAAGCGCCTACATTTGAAATAACGAATTTGACCGGGCAAAAGACACCTTATGTGAACGGCCCCTTGGCGAGCTACCTCCAATCAGGCCACGAGCTACTGGTAGCTCGCGAGCGACGTGTTGGAGACCCCTGCTCTATTGGGTTGAGATCTGGTGACTGTGGAGGCCATTTTAGTACAGTGAACTCATTTTCATGTTCAAGAAAACAATTTGAAATGATTCGAGCTTTGTGACATGGTGCATTATCCTGCTGGAAGTAGCCATCAGAGGATGGGTACATGGTGGCCATAAAGGGATGGACATGGTCAGAAACAATGCTCAGGTAGGCCGTGGCATTTAAACGATGCCCAATTGGCACTAAGGGGCCTAAAGTGTGCCAAGAAAACATCCCCCACACCATTACACCACCACCACCAGCCTGCACAGTGGTAACAAGGCATGATGGATCCATGTTCTCATTCTGTTTACGCCAAATTCTGACTCTACCATCTGAATGTCTCAACAGAAATCGAGACTCATCAGACCAGGCAACATTTTTCCAGTCTTCAACTGTCCAATTTTGGTGTGCTCTTGCAAATTGTAGCCTCTTTTTCCTATTTGTAGTGGAGATGAGTGGTACCCGGTGGGGTCTTCTGCTGTTGTAGCCCATCCGCCTCAAGGTTGTGCGTGTTGTGGCTTCACAAATGCTTTGCTGCATACCTCGGTTGTAACGAGTGGATATTTCAGTCAAAGTTGCTCTTCTATCAGCTTGAATCAGTCGGCCCATTCTCCTCTGACCTCTAGCATCAACAAGGCATTTTCGCCCACAGGACTGCCGCATACTGGATGTTTTTCCCTTTTCACGACATTCTTTGTAAACCCTAGAAATGGTTGTGCGTGAAAATCCCAGTAACTGAGCAGATTGTGAAATACTCAGACCGGCCCGTCTGGCACCAACAACCATGCCACGCTCAAAATTGCTTAAATTACCTTTCTTTCCCATTCTGACATTCAGTTTGGAGTTCAGGAGATTGTCTTGACCAGGACCACCCCCCTAAATGCATTGAAGCAACTGCCATGTGATTGGTTGATTAGATAATTGCATTAATGAGAAATTGAACAGGTGTTCCTAATAATCCTTTAGGTGAGTGTATATATATATATATATATATATATATATATGTGTGTGTGTCTCAAAATCGTTTCCTGTTAGATGTTAAATAGACATTTAGAAAACATATTTACACTCTAAAAAATTACGGGTTGTTTCAACCCAAATTTGGGTCAAATATGGACAAACCCAAATGTTGGGTTAAAAATGTAATTTAAAATTTTTACCCAACTTCAACTTTCACTTGTGAAGTTTTTAATTACATTTTTAACCCAACATTTGGGTTTGTCCATATTTGACCCAAATTTGGGTTGAAACAACCCATCATTTTTTAGAGTGTAAATATGTTTTCTAAATGTCTATTTAACATCTGACAGGAAAAGATTTTGAGACACATTAGCAAATACACAAAAGAATGCATCTTGCAGGTGAAAACGCACATCAAATAGACGTCTCTGAGATGTATGTGTGCTATCAAGGAAAAGATATAGCACAGGTACGTCTCTAAGATCTCTGCTAAAGAGCGCTTAATCTGGAAAACATCAAACATCTGATAAACGTCTTAAAGGCGGTTTTACATTCTAAATCATAAACATCTTAAAGACGTTTTCTAAATGTCTATTTAACATCTGACAGGAAAAGTCTTAGAGACACATGCAGATTAGCGATGTGTAGAAAGAAATTTCAATTTCTTATTGAAATTATATCAGATTAGCAAACACTTAAAAAAATACATCTTGGAGATGTAAATGCAGACATTAATCTCTGTGATGTCCGTGTGCTATTATGGATGTAAATATGAGTGCTGACATCACCAGTTATTTTACAGATAACAGGGTCACGGCCCTTCGGGAAGTTCACATTCCAACTGGGGCTAAAGTTACCACCATAAGACAAGTGCGTTTTATACCAGTTCTTAGGTTAGATATTAATATTCAAAATATGTATTAAATTGGTGTTCTCTCTCCGTACAGATACTTGCTCATTCTTTCAGGCTGGACACTTCTCAGTTAACGCTTAAGGTATTTTGACATGCGCAGACTTCCTGTTGTGGTGATTGAAACCTTTACTATCTGCTCCATATTTATATAAACAGAAATATTTTTAAATAAATTTTCAGATGCGAAACAATCAAGGATCTCTAATTCCATTAAACTGCTGCATGCCTCCAAACAGAAAGCAAATGTAAGTCTATTTAAACAATCTTATATAGTGTCAAAGATATAAACACTTATACTTCAGGGCTGTTGAATGCTTGATTCTGATTGGTTGACGAACATTCTAAAGATGTGCAATTACTTTCATGGAAACGCACGGCTAAAGTAGTTCCAGGCAGGTGTTGACCGCATTACAGTTCCATATCACTCCGCCAAATGATTTCAGTTATTATTTCAAAGGTTATTTATGAAATTATAAACACTTTAAATTATTTCTCACTAGTTTTAAGGACAAAAACCTGACAAATGCCTTAAAATACAACATCTGAACAATGTTTTGAGGTGTGGTAACCGTATAGTATATATAATATATATAAGCGGAATAATTGACTCTGTTGAATTATCAGAAAATAAAGCACAGCCGAATGCGGCCACGACACGAAGCGAAGTGTGCATTATTTTAAAATAATTCAACGAAATAATTATACTGCGGTATAAGCTTATACTTCCACTTCCGCTTATACTTACATATATGAGTGTCAGCCTCAGCCAGCAATAACAATTTCATTTTTTTTTTTTTTTTTTCACTTTTATCACAGGACAATATTTGGACCCTAGAATTACTTTTCAGGGACTTTTTTTACATTTATGAGGACATATTTTAAAAAATAAAAATATTATATAAAATATCAAAATTTAATCAATCAATTGAAATAAATTCTTGAATATAATGAATAAATGTTACATTTTCAAATCATACTTATCAAGTAGATCTAAATGCACAAGATATCATCACACGATAAACACATGCTAGAATACATTGTAGTATAAATGGCTGACATACATTTTTGACCTGGTAAATGTCTGATGGTCATGGTAAGCAATTCGTACGAATTTTACGAGGTGGCTAATTCGTACGACCTAACTCGTACAAATTCGTACGATTTTTGCTAATTCGTACATATTTTACGAGTTTCCAAATTCGTATAAATTCGTACGAATGACCTACCCCTGACCCCGCCCCTAAACCCACCCATCACGTGGGTTTAGACAAATCGCACAAATTCGTACAAGTGAGGTCGTATGAATTAGTACGAATTAGCCACCTTTTAATTGGTTTAATTGGTCGAATTGGTTGTGAAATAGCCTTGCAATTTCTTATTATGTTAATCCTCATGTTATATTTTCTGGATTGACTACTTTTAATTTGTTAATTTGTTCATATTCTTTTTACTCAGGCCGTACGTCCTTGAAGTGGCTAAAAACTACCAGCATGGTATGACAACTAATAATGAACCCCCCAGCTTTATTAAATCATGTAAAAAAGTCACTATTTTTCCTTATGAATATAGTCAACCCAAGACCTAGAAGTATTCCCATTTTGAATAAAACCTTGAAGTCAAGACTACAGAACATTGTGAAACAGGTGAGACGTTTGACTGATACTCCATTTGCTTCTTTAAATCAAGTCGACTGTTTAACACTTCCTTGGTGACAAAGTATGCAAATTTCAAACATTTATGACACATGGTGCTATTTCAGATTGAAAGATTAGAAGACCTGTTGCCTCAAATCAAGCTAAAACACCATGAAAAGATGACAAAGGTGAACGTCTGATCTTATATCTAACAACTTTCTTTCCTGTATAGATGCATTTCCTGTTGAAACAGGATGTTGCTCACTCAAGTGTAAAATGCTTTAGTTTGCCTAGAAGATCCATGATTTGCCACTTTCTATTATGAATATAGGTTATTAGATTAGAAAAAAAGTCTTATATGTCTGTAAGTCATGATCAGTTTACTTTTTTGTTTTCCAGGAAGATTCAGATTGTACATTTTATATGCATGCATGTGCTATTAGTGAATTTTGTCAACTTTAAAGGCCCGTTCACACCAAGAACGATAGCTATAAGATAACGATATTAGAGTCCACGCCAGCGGATGATATTGCTCTTTTTATTATAACCGCGCTAAAGTTTTGTCCTCTGTCACTTTAAATGCTCGAGCTATTTAAATCGGACCGAAAGATTTTAAAAAATGCTCGTTTCACTGTGCCGTTTTCGTTATAGGTGTGGACTCTGTTATTCTTTTATTTTAAGAACTTTTTTTTTTTTTTTACTTTATCGTCCTTTGTGGGCGGGTCTTTAAGTGTGCACTAGCATATGGCAAACATTTGTCTCTAAAAAAGTAGTAATATGCTAATTTCATGCCTTTCATTGCAGGATATTGAGTTACTGAATCAAAAGCTGGTATTTCTTCACAAACGAATGCAGGTAAAATGTCATTCCTCATTTGTTATCATCATCATCATAATTTCATAATAATTATTAATGCAGATTATTCATATCAACAATCTCTAAATTGTAAATGAACAATCTCTTTAATTATATTGAATATTGCATATTTAAAATGATTTTAACATTTAAAATGCGAGGCAATCTCAGATTGACTAAAATAACAGTTCAGATTTGATTTGTTTTAGACGTCCGAGTGCTGTTGCTGGGAGGGGATGCTGAGAAGAGCTCCGCTGTGGTGAATGATGGTCAACTCAATAATACAGTATAAGCAGTGGTGTAGCAGGGTATACGCAGGTATACGGCGTATACCCACTTCTTTTTCAGTCGGCATTGCGTATACCCACTTCTAAATCCCCTCTGATGCGCATCATTTAGTTGCTAATCCAATCTCGTTAATAAAAAACACCCAGTCAGGGTCGTATCATTGAGACCCCCAACCCCCCTAGCAATATCATTTATGGGACCTGGATATTTAGAAAACCCTGCGTACAGGCCTGATATGCAAAAATACTAGTAATTCATAACACAGATCGTTCGTCCTTTGCTGGGACGCTTAAAAAATATTGGGGGCATAAATTAAGAGTATACCCACTTCTCCAGGCACCACTACATCACTGAGTATAAGCACTGACTAACATGACCAATAACATCTTAGAGTAGAATCTGTCTGTTCTTCAGTTTTTGATTAAATCTATAGAGAATCTGATGTATTTTTCTGGAGTTGTGTAAGTATCTCATTATGTATTTTATCTGGGGTTTTTTTTTCAATATCAACTGGCCTCAAAAACACATGGACAAAAGTCCGACCTGTCAATGACTTATAAAATAAGTTTCTGAGTCGTTTTTCCAATGGCTTCTATCCAGTTGGTGTCCTATCAGGCTGACCACATGTGAAGAGAATCATATTACCTATTAACATGATCCACTAAGATTGCATAACCCATAATCTAATGCAATGACATTCATACATTAAGAGTAAGTTGCAGATACGTTTCGGCATTGCTATAATATATGCAAACAGAACAATTCAAATGTGTAAAGCAGTTTATAAAGTTTGAAAACCCATTGAAAGAAAATTACAGTTCTATTTTTCCTTGACCCTGGATCACAAAACCAGTCACAAGTCGCACGGGTATATTTGTGGCAATGGCCAACATTGTACGGGTCAAAATTATCGCTTTTTCTTTTATGCCAAAAAATCATTAGGATATTAAGTAAAGATCATGTTCCATTAAGATATTTTGTACATTTCCTACCGTAAATATATAAAATACTTATTTTTGTGAGTGAAAGCAGCACAATCGCAAACATAAATGGACGGCGATTTTCTCAATGTTTTGATTTTTTTGCACCCTCAGATTCCAGATTTTCAAATAGTTGTATCTCAGCCAAATATTGTCCCTTCCTAACAAACCATAATCAACGGGAAGCTTATTTATTCACTTCAGCTATCAGATGATGTTAAAAAAAATGTTGGTCCAGGGTCACATATTTACAAATACATGAATGTTATGTATTTCGAACATCAGTATGTTATGTGTGTATTAAGTGCTGTGACTGGTGGCCATCCTTTTTCTTTTTAAGTAGAAATATTCAGTGTAGTCTTTCAATTAAAATTAGAGCCTAAAATGTCCATGTATTAAAATTATACACATTTGAGACCATTTACAATGGTGTTAGATGAAGTATATCACTCTCATGTTAACATGGGCATATAAACAATGGAATATAATGACAGCATTTCCATTTAAATAAAACTCGTCAGATATGATTTTTCCCAGTACTTCTCAATAGGCTAAAATTTGGATCCATTTTTGCTGATCAGATTACCAAGAACTAAACATACCAGTCAGAGAAACAACATTTCCTTAATGCTTGAACAAACCCCAGTTCTCCACAAGAAAAACAGCATCACAGTACTTGTCTCCACTTGTTTATTGATACAGAAAAGGCTGTAGTTCTGAGCAATGACTTATCGTTTCCCTGTACATCCCACAAAGATGTTCTGAAAAAGTAGCAAAATATATATTCCAAAATACGTTGTATATAAACCTTAATGAATGAAATGGCTGCTTCATGACAATGGAAAAAAAGAAAACTTGTTTTGCAGTGAGGACTTCCACTCTATAAATGCAGTTTACTGATTTCTTTCACATTGATCCCAATGTCAGCCTTCAGTCCTTCCCATTCAAAGGAATGAAGCCCATTTATTACACGCATTAGGATCAATGTTCTTTTGCAAGCATGAAACAAGGGAGAAAGGAATGTCAATGTAAATCACCATCTCAGAGCATTTCTACAGGATTATTTTCTCTCTCATCTGGACGATGGCTTTATCAGGGAAAAATAGACCAGCATATCTCTTTCAAGTTATTTAAAAAAAAAATGTATTTGATCAATTACATACTGGTGTCCAGAAAAAAGGTCACAATTACTGACACAATGAACCACTATTAAAAAACAAACAACAAAAAAATCATCAAGTTGACGGTTACTGGAAAAACACTATGTACATAAACAAGGGTAGGATGGACGAGACAGATACATCAGGACTCGTGTCATCATCACCTCTGCTACCACACTGCTCTGTTCATTCCACTAGCAATTATAGACGGGCCTGTTAAATAAATCAGAACAACAAAAGAACAAACGGTCTGGTTAAACAGTTCTAGTTGCTTGCGTCTTTGAATGGTTTAAAACTTAAACGCTCTTTCTCAGGGAGCTATTCTTAAAATTTTTCCAAGTGGTCTGAATTGAAAAGGGGAAGGTGTCCTCAAAATAACAGCACATTCACCGACAGCACTTCTATTCAGTTTTGGATTTTTTGCTGTCATTGCCGTTTTCCTCGGCCGTGGTTTCCTCGGACTTCCGCTTCTTGGTGCTCTCAGCGACGCTGCTCCCGAGGTGCGGGGAGAAGGTGATGATTATACAGGTCATGTTGTCACACCCGGTGCCGTCCCCTGAGGTGTCTGGGGCCAAGCAGTGGTCGAGCAGCTAGATGGTGAATAATACACTTTTCATGACTCCAGTCATAACGACAAGACAAGTCCAATAATAATGACATTTTTAGCCATTTAATTGAAACGATATAATTATTTGTTCAGGACCAAATTAGTTCAACGTGGCCACGATTTACTAAAACGAATTCTTAATTTTTAATTGACACAATATATGCATTTTTGCATGTCATGTGTGGGGCTCCATATTGCTGAAAGAACCAAAAAACATCACACATAGGGATGTGCCCAAAGCCGAACCTGGAAAGTCCCGGACAATAAATAATGTAATATAACAATTTATAACCACAATTAAAGTGAAGCCACAAGTGTGGTCATGCTTCATTTCAAATCTGAGGATATCTCAAACTATGAATTTTCTAAGATCATGTCGTGAGTTTTTAGAGAAGGCTGATAAGATGCTAATAAAACATTTTATTGCCCTCTAAACACCCATTTGCAGTCTAATTGTCTGGCAAAGAGAACTCAAATTCAATTCATGTTCTATTGTTCTTACTCAATGAACCTTTCACACTTCTGCCGTGAAGACTTCATTATTCTTTTATCGTTATCCTTTTGTTTGTATACAGCCATTATTAGCCTTTATTCTGGCATTATATGGCTTTCCCATCTATAACATAGATAGGATCTGAGATGTCATCCAACTCTACTTTAATCTATTATCTGAAGTCATTCTAGAAAAAAAAGCATATTCTTGGGACTTTGTGAATTCTTTTTACAAATTATTATATAGATTAGCTCCTGGCATGACAGGTGCATTGAAGCTACAATTAGCATCAAGCTACATAACACAATTTAAAAGATTAATATTACCCTTTTACCCAAAACTCACTTTAAACAACCACCGAGTGTTTGTATTAACTTCCGATCGCGATCGAATGTGGATTTCAGTCATAATGTTGTTGAAATATAGCATTATATATGCAGCTAATCGCTACACCTGCTTAGCATGTATACTGCAAATATTCTTTAATTTTACTAATAGATCTACCAATCTGTGTAAAAATAAAATGATAGTATTTTAGTGATATAGTGTAGTAACTATCAGATCAACCAGAAAGTAAACCTGTTCTGAGCTCGTGCTGCACTGTCTGTTATTGGTCTGAGCTGATAAACTGCCCGCGCTGCGCAACTCAAGAGTAGCGTGGTTTCGTTTTATTAATAGTTAATTTGCCAATTAATGTTTTTCATATGCATTGAAGGCAGCTCTTATCAGTTGGGCAACATGGTGGTGGCACCAGTGCGACCTCTAACAATTTATTCGCACCAGCAAGAATTTTTTTTTTTTTGTGTAAAATGCAATGATTTGGTCGTAGTCTGAACCCTGATCAGATGTCACTTTTTACGTGAAGATATTGAAATATATTTTTTCCTTCACCATGTCATTCAGGGGCTCCGCAGAATCCATTATCTCCTTTTCAAATTCGGCTCCGGGCACATCCATAGTCACACATTTTTCCCAGTACTTACCTCTTCTACAATAGCAGATAGGGGTCTGCTTTTACCAGCCTCAGTTTTAAATCTCTCATTCACAAAGTCCACCACTTCCTGACTGCTCATCACATTCCTTTAAACACACAAAGACAAGTATGAACACACAGACAATTTAATCTACTCATCGGCTACTCATTACAGTTCTTATTGGACTATTGCAAAAAAACAAGACAAAAAAAAAAATCAGCATTTTTTCATGGCAGAGACATTGCATATTGCAATGAGAAGAATTGTTATAGGAGAACTACCTTTACATCGAGTGACTAACACCACTACATTAAGCCTAGATGTTATGCACAATGTTATCAAAGCAGAGAACCTGAATAAATACTAGAAGTTGCACTGTTTTTCAGCCTTTTCCATGATATTATATATATCATAATATTTTTGTTATTTAAAAGTGATTTCAACCAAACAATTTCAACCAAAACAGCTACTATAGCCAATTGCATGAAAATGATTTATCCAAGAACTAAAAGCATAATGTAGTTAAAAGTAAATCAAGGTTTCTTTTATAATAATTTTAGGCTAGAAGATCAGCAAAATAAATCACAAATATCATGATTACTCAATTAACAACTTGCACAAGCATGTTAATGCATTGTGAATATTTAATACAACTAGCCCTAAAAAAAAAATCCTCATGAAATCATGTTATTTAGTTATTTTTGTCCGTCTTACCAGATGCCATCACAGGCAATAACCATAAACTCATGGTCTTCATTGAGAGTCAGCACTTTGACATCAGGCAGAGCAGAGATCA